AAAGATTATTAAATATTTATTTAAAAATTAAAACAGAAGTTACTGATGTTTTCAAATAATTTTACAATTATGGAAATTCGTAAATAAATGTAACGGAACATTTTTTTGCGTAAAATTTTTCACTTTATTTTCAAAAAATATTAAAAGTTTCAATTTCATTTTCAATTAAAATTTGTAATTGACAAATAGAATTTATAAACATTTTTTTCCTTTATTTTTAAAAAACTTTGAATTTTATTAAAGCAATTGAAATTTGTTTTAAAAAAAGCATATAATAAACAAAATTTTTTTGTTAATAATTTTTTTTAAATTTTGCAATTTAATAGTAAATTTATTAGTAAAATTTAGTAATTAAAGAGCAAAAAGTCAGTCACTAATTCAAATTAGTAAACATTTTTACTATTTCAAATTTAGAGAGTAATCCATTTTAATTAATTATTAATAACTGTTTGATTAGTAGAAATATTACGAATTGAATGAATGATTGACTTTTTACATCAAATTAGTTATTTCTACCTAATTTAAATTTAGAGAGTTGGTACTATTATTGGTATCTCTTTAAATTTGAATTAGTTTAAAATAATTAATTTGTTAGTAAAAAGTTAGTCACTGAATAAATTATCAGTATTATTTTTACATTAATTAAATAGTTAATTATGACTAATTATTAGTCAAATTAACTTTTGTGAATTGGTATGTCAAATTAGCAAAAAATTTTGGTAAGTAATTCAATCAGTCTAACTATTTTTCTTATTTATTTATTGATTAATATTATATTAATATTATTTATTAATAAAATTAGTTGTTTTTTTACTAATTGCTAAAGCAAAAATTCGGCCAAAATTTTACTAACAATTAGTTTTTTTTAACTAATTAAAATTTCGAAAGATTATAGTATTATCATTACTCTTTGCTTATTATTCAATCTGATTCAATTGTATATTATTAATTTACTGTTTATTAAAATCATAAATTTTTTAATATTTCACACTGGAATCTAGATAAGTAGATATTTCAATAATATTTAAATTAATTAATTTTTAATATTATTAAACCTCGACAGAATAATAAATATTTTAATATTAATAAAATTATAATTATTATATTTCATTTAATTCTATTAAAATTTTTGTGTAACAAAATAATTATCCAAAATAATTGCTGATCAGGAAAATAATTACAATAGTATTGCAAGCAAATTATAAATTCCAATAAAATTTAATTAATAACATATTCCAGAAATAGAAGCAGAAATTTTGTCAATATTATTTTTTAGTATAATTATTATTATTTTTCTTCTTATTATTATTATATTCCATATTATTATTGTTATTATTATTATAATGCTGTTATTATTTTATTGTGACCATTTATTTTCCTAATTACCAATCAGAATAATTTATAAAGATAATAACAATAATAATAACATTTCACATATACATATAGTGGCCGCAATTAACTAAGCGAAATGAAATTAGCAAAATAAATAAATAAATTATACAGTTATCATTCTGAATAAATTGTCTTTTGAGTTTAATTGAATTGTTTAAAAGCAAGATAATCCGTTGTGAGTAAAGCCAGAAGTTGCATTGCGAAAGCTCGTCTAAAAAAACTTTCAAGAACTAAATCGCAGTTGACAACAAAGTGTTAACACATTGTCGAAGATTAATAATGAAACATTATTCAACTTGTTATAAATATACAATAATTTCACAAGTAAAATTCACATTATATCTAATTAAATTTTTTTTATATCTAATTAATTTTTATTTATATTTTATATATAAATTTTTTTATATTTTGTATATATAAATTTTTTTTTATATTTTATACAAATTTTTTTTTTTCATATTTACTATCGAATCGGGAACTATTTTTTTCTAAACTTCAATTGACAATAATCTATAATTATAAATAGTGACATTATTGATAATATCAACGGTAACAACTTCTGTTTTTTTAAACATTTCAAATAAATTTAAAAACAATTATACGGAATCATAAAATATTTTTATTTTAAATTTTATAAATAAATAGCGATGCTAATAAAATTAATAGCAACAACTACTACAAATTGAAATTTTTTGAAATAAAGTAAATGAAAATAAATATCTGAGCCAGAAATGCTAAGAATAATAATAAAATAGTAAACAGTGGAGAACTGATTATTTTTTAATTATTTGTTTTAATTAAAAAGGGCTCTAATAAGGGCCTTCTTAGGAACGAAGTTGGCCCCTGCTAAAGCCCTATTGTAAGTAGGGCGAAGTAGAAAATTTTTAAATGAGAATATAAAAAAATTATAATAATAATTGTATAATAAAAATTGTAATTATAATTATGATAATTATTATAATTATAATTTTAATAATTGCAGACATATTAATTATAATAGCAGTAATAATAATAATGATTAAAATAATACCAACAATAATAATAATAATCATAATAGTAGCAATAAAGCAATAATAATAGCAATAATAATAATAATTTAGTATCATTAAATAATAAATATAAAAAATAGTTATTACAATTATTGATAATAATAGATTGGACAACAGTGTTTATAAAAAACAAAAAAATTAATTTTTTCCCAAAAACACATCTAATACTGATAAGTGAAATAAAAACGTTTATAATCTAGATCAGCTGAAAACCAGTAAAATTGAGTTAATATCTTATTTTGAAAAACAGGTTTCCAGTGTCAACAGCCGATAAATCGGACTTCCGCGTATCCAGGGGTTTATCCGCGCAAAAAACTAGGTCATCTTGTGCAGGGGCTTCAGGAAATGATTTTTCTCGACTCTCGAAAAGAATATATTTTTATTTCATTCCTTTTCCTTTCTTTTTTTCTTCTTAAAGAAAAGAATAAATATATTTGTATACACTACATATAAAAGAAAAAAAGATAAGAATTTGCATATATTCATAAATAAACAAGAATAAACTGGTATTACTTTTATCAGTGGTTTGCCGACCTGAATAAAAAGAAAAAAAAAGAAGAAAAAAAATTACTATAAATAGCGATTCGTTCATTAATATGTTTGAAGAAAAAAAAGAAGAAGAAGAAAGAAATGATTTTCATTGATTAAGATTGTATCAAATAAATAAATGTAAGTAGAGTGAAGGAGAGAGAGAGAGAGATTGTATATGTATATGAACTGCGAGAAGACGAAAATAATGATGATGCAAAAAAAATTTTTAGAAACGGGCGGTGTTATTCAGCTAGCAGCAGCAGCAGTAGCAGTAGCAGCTGATTGAAAAACAAAAGTTTTTTTCATAATGTTCTCTCAAACGCAACTCGCGATAATTCGCTAATATGATCTCGGGCTTCGAACTTGTCATTGTACGTCAGAACCAACGTTTGCTCAAGGACGTGACCTTTACGCCATTTTTTTCACTTTATTTTTTTTTTATTTTTAATGTAAAATCTATAAAAAGTGATTAATTATAAGGTGTTAAATTGTTAAAAATTCTGTGGAAAAAACGAAATGGAGAAAGAAAATGAAAAACAAAATATAAAAAATAATTAAAATAATCTTTGTGTAAATGCTAAGTTATTTAATAAATTTATCCTTTCCGAGAATTCCTTTCCAATTAAGGAATCATTATTAAGTGGCAGTAATTAGTGCTTTTGGTTTTTCAAAACAATTTTTTTCCATTCTATTCTCTCATTTATTTTTTTTCTTTAAAATAATTTTTCCAAATAATTCTCCTAAACATAATTTTTCTAAATAATTCTCCTACATAATTTTTCTAAATAATTCTGCTGCATAATTTTCCTAAATAATTTTGCTACATAATTTTCCTAAATAATTTAGTGTTTTTTATTTTTCTAAACAATTCTTTATTTTCATTTTACTCTTCGCTCATTTATTTATTTTTTTATTAATAATTTTCTGAAATAATTGTCTTACATAATTCTGCTAAAAAATTCAGTGCTTTTAATTTTCAAAATAATTGTTTATTTTTATTTTATTCTCTGTAAAATTATTTCCTTTTTTTAAATAATTCTTCAGAAACAATTTAATGCTTTTAATTTTTCAAAATAATTTTTTATTTTCATTTTATTATCTGCTAATTTCTATTCTTTAAATCATTTCCGCACAAATAATTATTCTAAATAATGTTCCCAAATAATTATTCTAAATAATTTTCCAAATAATTATTATAAATAATTCTTCTTAATAATTTTTAAAAATATTTCTCATAAATAATTTCCCCATATAATTCTTTCATAAATAATTTTCCTAAATTATTTATTTATTAATTTTCGAAAATAATTCTTCTAAATAATTTTTTTAAATATTTTTCCTGAATAATTTTCCTACATAATTCTCCTATAAACAATTTTCCTAAATAAATCTCCTCAATAATTTTCCTAAATATTTCTCCTGAATAGTTTTCTTAAATATTTCTGCGAAACAATTTTCCCAAATAATTTTCCTAAATAACTCTCCATAATACTTTTCCTAAAAATTCCTCATAAAAAATTTTCTTAAATATTTCCTGAATAATTTTCCAAAACAATTTTCATTGCCTAAAATCCAAAAGGCATAAAATTTCTCCTTTCGTTTAAATTATAAATTTCGATCACCAAAAGGCTCACCTGAATAAATTAATTCATTAATTTCCAATTGGCCGGAATTTTAGTCGTTTCCTTTTTTTTATAACCCTAAAAAAATTTCCCACAAACTGAAAATTTATTTTCATCAATTAAAACCATCAATTATAATTAACTTCCACGAACTCAATTAACCTAAGTATTCTAATTAACCTAATTATAATTAAAATTCACTATCTCGTTTGTTTTGACAGAACGCTATAAGTAAACAAAATTTTTGGAAAACTTACATAAAACGAACAATATTTCCAAGCAAGAAAGCAAGCAAAAAAAAAAAGGAAGGAAAAAAGTGGAAAAACAAGCTTACATAAGTTACGACGATGAAGAAAAAGGAAAAAAAATTGTTGCAACGATTATAGAAAAATGTTAATTCACGCACCTTCGTTTGATGGATGCGAAGTCTCATCGAAGACCTCCCTGCACACAATAGTGGCAGCGCTGTCTTGGGAAATACTCATTTTCCACAAATTTCCCGAGAGTGTGTGTATATTATTTTATTTCCTATTGTTTTCTCTCCTTTTTCCCGAAAAAAAAGTGGAAAATGAAAGTTGTTTTTTTGAAAAAATATTTGTTTTGTTGTGATTTTTTACATTATGTCCTTTAATTGACCGGCGGATTCGCGGCAATTTCGCGTTAAATATAAATGAAATAATTGTGGGGATCCTGTCATGTTGACGTTTGCGCGAAATCCGAACTGAACGACGGTCAATGTTGAATACAAGTTGAATGTATATATAGGGGTAGGGGGAAAGTCGAACGATTGCAGCGAACCCTTCCTACCAAAGGAAAAATGGGGTGAAATTATTAAGAACTCATTTACAATGTTTGATGGGATAAATTACTCTCCCTTTTATTAACACAGCACAACCGCTTAACATCGGTTGTTAAGTTTCTGTTTTATCGACAACTTTCCTCTCTCTCTCGAAAAAAAAAAAAAATATTTTTCATTTGTTTTTTTTTCGAGAATTTTAATTTGAAAATATTTTTTATCATTTATTTCTTTTTTTTTAAATAAAAAATCAAAACTATGTCAATAGATTTCTGAATTATTAATAGATGGTAAATTGTCTGTTGAAATAGTTCCCGAAGAGACCGTGTGGTGGTTTTTTTTACTTATTTTTCAATTGTTTCAAATAATTATTTAATAAAAATGAAAATCTTTTTCTTTTTTTTATTCAAAAATTTTTCAAAAATTTTTATTGCTTTGTGAATATTTATTTTTATACTTTTTATATTTAAAAATATTAACTTTTACACTGTTCCACAACAAAGTGTTTAGTAAATAAAATAATAGTTATAAATAATAGTGGTTAAAAATTACAAAAAATAATTTAAAAAATTTTAAATACAAATATTAATCGAAAAAGTCTCTTCTAATTTCAATAGTCTGATATTATTCGCACAGGAATAATTAAAAACTTATGTTGAACAGTTTTGCAATTTATTAATAACTGAATAAATTAAAATTATTCCTAAATTGTTGAAAACTATTTTCGTTAGTTAGAAAAAGCAATTATTTTTTTTATCATTTTTCCTCGACTGTTTGCAAAATTTATAAATTATTTTACGGTGAAAAAGGAATTTTTTATTATTTTAAAATTAAAAGTGAATTATTAATTATAAAAAACTTGGGAATAAATTATGTTTAATTTATTAATTAATTTTTACAATTGACTTACAGGCGAGTTATAGGTCCTGTTAGTGCTGCCACTTGCCGGCGGATATAAAAAAAAATATGTCTTTCTACGTGAAAAAAAATACAGAATTTAAAAACACTAAAGTTTCAAAATTAACAAAAGTATATTAGATATTAATAAAATGGTATTTATAGTTATTAACAATTAACAATAGTAAAAATTAATTTTAATACACGTAAGCAAACTAACAAACAAATAATTTGAAAACATTTTGAAAAAGTACATTAACATAATTATTATTCAGTAAAAAATATTGTTAATATAAATAATATTAATAATATTATTAATAAATAATATTAATAATAATAAAAAATAATATTAATAACATTATTAATATAAATAAAAGATGTTTAAAATTCCTTTGTTTGGCATTGGTCAACTTTTATTTATATAATTTATAGCTTCAAAAAATATTTAATTATTATTAATAAATTCTATTCTTAATAATTAATATTAATTAACAATTTTAAGCTTTAAAAATAAATAGAAATATTTTGCATATTTTTCTATATTTTAAAAAGTATTTAAACATTATGTATTTATTGTCATGAATGAAAATTAAAAACTTTCTGTTGAAAATGCTTTATTTTACAATAATTATTTTGAAATTATTATCTTATGATATTGTAAAATTATTAAAACGTTATTATCATATAAATGTAATAACTATTATAACTAAAAAAAATTTATTTAATTTAAATAAACGATTTATTGTCAAATAAATATTTACTTGAATTAAATAAATTAATAAAAAAATTAAATATAAACAAGTAAACGGTCCTTTCAATCAAATTAATTTTTTTTTTAATGTAACTATTATGATTCTTTGTTCCAAATAAAAAAAAATAATTAAAAAAATACGTTAAAAATTCGAAACAATTCATTTACTCTTTACATTGTTATTTTTTTCTAAAACAAAAATTAATTTTACATTCAGAAAATATTTTCCCCCAAGAATTGTTTTTAATAAAAAAATTGCTATTACCCTTGTGAAAAAGTTCCCGGGAATGAGACCGAAAAATTCTCAGTAGTGACTCCAAGAATTTTTGTTTTTCATTTTTTTTTTCTCCAGGGAATTTCTCGGTCTCATATTCCTGGAAAACTTTTTTACGCGGGTAATTTTTATTTTTGTGTAGTTTTATTTCTTAATAATAATAAATTCTAATTATAGACATTAATTTTACTGAAATTTGTTAAAACTACTTTCTAAATTTAAATTAGTAAAAAATTTACTAATTTGAATTAGTGACTAACTTTTTTATACTTTTAAATCAGTACAAATAGTAAAAATTATTCTTTATTAGTAAAATTTACTGATTCAAAAGCAAAAAGATTGTCAGTAATTCAAATTAGTCAACATTTTTACTAATATTCAAATTTAGAGAGTACAAAGAACTTAAATTTAAAAATTATTCATTTCTTACAAAAATTTTCTTTTATTTTTGTCGTAGTTTAGTTGATTTTTACTCATTCAATTTATATTTGTACAGTCACACAATCACCATTTTTATGTGACCCATCATTTTAATTAGAAATCTAACGAACTTTATTAAATATATCGATTGGAGCATTAAAATTCTGACTCTTAATGGGAAAAAAATAAAGCGGACAGCATCGTTATTCATAATATGAGTGTTCAAGCTTAACGACACCATACATTCAGTATAATAATGCAAGAAAATAATTAAGTGATAATGATATCTCACTCATTTCACTTCCACATATATATCTATATAAAAAAATAATTTTATTGTGCAATGAAGCAATCGTATAAAAATTTTTCTTGTCATTCAACTATGACCTAATGATGTTTACATTAACGATCATTATGTAATTGGATTTTTAATATAATTTTTAATTCTTTATATGAATATGCAATCGCAGAAATTCTTATCCTGTAAAAAATTAATTGAAAAAAATAAATGCGAAAAATAATGTAGATAAAGGGAAAATGCTTTCCATTCATTTCTAGAGATATTTTTTAATTTTATTTTTCTTAATTGTGTTTTGAGAATAAAAATTCTCTTATCAAGCTATTTATTTTTTAGAAAGCAAAACGGTGATAGGATCTTTGTAAACTAGAATTAGTAATAAATTCATTTATTACTTTATTCTTTTATTCTTTTATTAGTAGGAAAATGGTGATATATTACCTTAATATTAATTATATTAATAATACAATTGTTATTAGTACTAATAATTAATTATTCATTTTTATTATCTTATATTATTATAAAATTAATCTTAAAAGTTAAAACCTTAATTAAATTAAATAATAATTATTGTTATTTGCAGAACCAGAATGGCGCAAAATTCAAATTTAATTACAGAAGATTATTTTAATTTGGTACTTTTGAACAATAATTTCTTATTTTTAATTAATGTATAGTCGAATTAATAAATTACAGTCGAATCTGTCGAAATACAACTATACCTATATTTAAAAAATTTCTTTGTATTGAAAAAATGTCCAATAAGAATTATTGACACTTTAGTTCCAGAATATTGTAAAAATATTACAAAATTAAATCATAAAACAATTTTTTAAGGATTGTTTCGGATTGTTTACTGTAATGAAAGTTGCATTCCGCCAGGTTTCACTGCACTTTAATTAATAATCAGCTTTAACTAACAATCAGCTTTAAATAATAATTGATTTTAATTCCAATCAACAACCAGTTTTAATTTTAATCGGTTTAATAATTATAGTTTAATTATATTTTACGTACACTAATAAGCTAAAACAAACAATTAGTTCTATAAGTAATAATCAGCTTTAACTAAAAATTAGTTTTAAGAACGTTTATCCAAAGAAAGACAGACTCACATAAAAATTAATCAAAAAGAACCCAAATCTTACTATAAATAGTATTTTCTGGAAGAACAAACATCAACTGTCAAGAAAAAAATTTATTTGTTTGTACAATTTACATATGATAACAAATTTTTTTTATTTTTATAGAATTTTTTAAAAATAATTCGTTTTTAATCTAATATGGCTTATTTTCTTGAGAAAATGATTGTCGACAACTTCAATGTATAAATTTTTAAACAAGCACACGACGTTTCAGAAATATGTTCATTTGTTTAAGAAAGCTCAAAATTTTCTTTTAATTTAATTTAATTTAATTTAATTTTCATTTAATTTAACACAGATTTTTCTTACAATGCAGTATTTTTTATTCGATTTTTCTGTGTATAACTAATTTTAGTAATATTCCCGCACGGCAAAAAATATGTAACTTTTACAATTTACCAAGTAAAAACTAATTTGCTTGGAGTTTTTGCTAATGTCAGTCAACTTTTACTATATTTTTAGAGTAAATTTTCCTACGTTTGAAGTAAATCTTTACTGATTTTAACAAAAATTTACTTCGAACGTTAAGCAACTTTTTCTCTGCAAATAGAAAAAGTTGTCAGTTTGAAATTGTTTTAATACAGTAAAGGTTTTACTACAAAAGTATAGTAAAAGTTACTTTATCCGTTTTTTCCGTGCCTCTAAATTTTAACACAGAAAATTGTGGAGTATTATTTTAACACCAAAATGTATTAAAATAATCTGCAACATTTTAATCCATCAAGGATTAAAATAATCCATCGTAGGATTATTTTTTCAAAATGTTTTAAAAATGATTTGTTTTTTATTTAAATACATTTTTTTCGTGCGGAAAAAATTAATCCAAAAAGTGATTAATTTAATCTTTTTTTTGGTGTTAATTTAAGCTCTCCAACAATTTTTAATACAATTTTTTTTTAGTTAACTGTGTTAATAAAATTCTTAAAATAAATCGTTTACATGCGGAAAAAAGCATCACTACAAAATCTTTCGAGCTTTTTTATCCAAAGCGAACGAGTTTTGGAAAAAAAGCTCGAAACTTATATAAGAAAACAAATGAAATTATTGCCATTTCAGTAAAAAACTTTTCCTAATTTTACAGTTTTTCTAAGGATATAAAATTTTGCGACAAAAAGTGAATCAAAACGTTGCATCGCAATAATTTTTATAC